ATGACTATGAATACGATTTATGGATTTTAAGGTAAATGATGGTGATTTAGATTTGATGATATACTGATGAGATGATTGCGCTGAGATCGCGGCTAATGGTTCCGTATACGTTAGTTCACGGAGAAAATGGGGATCCGCGTGTGCTCAATGCGACGTACAACGAACGACTCGCTTTTTGTTGATGCTACTCAAGATTTGGTAGATAATAATAGGAGTAGGGTATGTGGTAGTAATATATTGCAAGTTCGTTCAGAAATTGATAGATTTATATCAACCAGATATATAATTCGAATTTGGTACATAATTAAATTGAATTAACTTATGATTAAATATTATAAAGTCCTTTAAAGCGTTGGAGAAATAGTAAAATGGAACCAGGAAATCCAGTTCTTAAAAAATGTAATAGAATAAAAAGTAAAATTTGATGGGAGTGCATATAACCCATAGTTGAGTTGCAATGTAGATCACTTGAGGCTGAAGTAAAAATAGCATAGTACCATAAAGAATATGGCTAGTTGGAGGCCGTAACTCCTTGCGTGCGCAAGCGGTGAATGCCTCATCGAGAAAATGACCAGTTGTTAAATATTTGATGTGTTTCAGTTGGAGGCCGTAGTTCCTTGTGGCGGCAAGCGGTGGCTGAGTCTAATGAGAATCTGACCAGTTTGAGGCCGTAGCTCCTTGTGTGGGCAAGCGGTGGCTGAGTTTAATGAGAATCTGACCAGTTTGAGGCCGTAGCTCCTTGTGTGGGCAAGCGGTGGCTGAGTCTAATAAAATCCAGATCTATTGAGACCGTAGCTCATAGTGGGCAAGCGGTGGCATTTTTTTAATGTTTTGTTTTAACAGGTATTTCACTAATTAGCTAGGCAGCCGTGTTTGCAGAGATGCTGACTAGTACCTGGTGTGAAAAATTAAGTGATACACCTTAAGGCGGAAAAATATAACAAAGACTGAATTCATGATGTTGAAATGTAATGTGTAGTTGTCAGTGGCAACTTTCATATTTTAAGTATGTAAATTATCTCAAACTAAATTTTATATGATTTTAATTTTATTATATTACCCGATGTTAACTGTTATGATAATATCGAATGAGGCCCTTCGATAACGTTGGATGGCCGAAGTGGCTACGAATACCATCGATTAAATATAAAGTGAATAGTAGGCTTACGAACGTGAGTTTTCACGTTCGTTTGACGAAAGTTAGTAATTCGTTTTATGGAAATTGCGCAAGGTTTTACAACAAACTCCCAGAGTCTGTACTCAATTTGCCAGAAAAAGAAATCAAATGTGTCATAAAATATTTTCTTTGTAAAAAAAAGCTTATTATAAAATCGAAGAATTTATAAATGTCATCATTTATAAATCAATGTTTTTTAGAAAATATCTAACTTGAAATTCATAGCGCTGTCAATGTTGTCTGATTGAACGGAGATTAAGTGCGTAGCAGTTTTTATGTTGATTGCCGCATGCCTAATCCTTGTTGTTAATTAAATATAAGTAAATCAATATTTATTTAAAAGAGCAACACACAGGTTTCTTGTTTGTTCTTCTTGTGATGAATCTGCGTTCCGAATGAGCGATAGATTGAAGAAAGACTTGACTACTCAAGGGTGCTTATATTAAGTTTATTTGAATAAAGATTATTTCTATTTCACATTAATCTGGAACAGTGGGTTTTGGTTTATGTTAAACTGGTGTTGTAAAGAAAATTGAGATCAGTATCTACAATCATTTATAGTCCCCTAAATGTACAGGGTTCAAAGGATGCAATAGATTACTTGACCAGTGAGCTGATGGTATTATTAAGTAAATCATAACTGAAATTCAATGAATTATGTTATATTAAAATAATTCTCTGGTAAATCAAGAGTATCGTCGAAGTAAAATAGTAGTAGTAGTATTGAGGGTATTAGAACCACTTGAATAATATTGACCTGTTATTTTCTATTGGTTAGGTGAAGGCAGGCAGCGATTTTGTTCTAATTTTATGTCACGAGAATATTACTTTCTCTTTATATTTTTTTTCTATATATGTAGGTAATTAAGTTTTACCTTTTGTAATGTGATATGTTAAATTTATCCGTTAAAATATTCATGATGAGAAATGTCAAGTTCTATTTTGGAGGTATAAAAAAAAAAAAATGCAATGTTCATAAGATCGGAAACTTACATTATATGTTACAGTCTGACTCATAGAAGTCAATCACCGCCAAATAATTGTTTGTTACTCTAAAAGGTTGTTCGTGTTTTTGGGTGATTTGGATTATGTAAATTAATATATGTTATGTTATATTTTGTGCATTTCTGAATGCATGCCGAAACTTAGCTCTGTTAGTATTGATTTTAGATTGTAAACCTTTGATAGTATACTAAGATAGTCAATGTTATGAAAGTAATGTGTATCTTTAATTTATTTAGTTTAGTATTTGTTATATGATCCTGTAGACACTATATCCTTTGATAAGCATGACTACGCTCATCAGTTACCTATGTGTCTGGGCCAGACACTATTGCAGGATGGCCGACTGTTAACTATCGTGTGACGCACCATTAATTAAAAATGGTAAAGTCAATAATCATGTAACCTGAAACGGAACGTCAGAGGCCAGAGCCAAAGTAATCTATGTGACATTGACAAGTGGATGACGGATGATTGAACGGAGGCAGCGGGAGTTTTGGAGCGAAAGTGTTTATATTGTTATAAAAACAAATAAGAAATAGGTAATTGTGAATATTGTAGGCATTGAGGTGTTTCTCTCCTGACTAACCGGCATTACGCCTAAGTCGTCAGGATACTAGTGATTTTAAAACATGTAAAAATTATAATGTTATACCTAACATCTCATCAGATCTAATAATTCTGTAAATTATTACCCCATTATCAATACATATATAATAATTGATGTATTTGTTTACAATACATTAATGTGGAGCAGTAGATGTTTATATTCAACTTACGTATTCTTATTCATATTATATATTAGTAACTAGATATTTATTAAGGATTATATTTGGTTAGGTATGCTATATTATATGCAACTGTATATAATGGAGGTCAATGTGTATTGCATGATTTCTACGATAATGATAAACAGGTCACTATTTTTAAGATTGATTTTTTTAAAGGTTCTTAGTGGAATAGTTCTAATGCTTTTACGGTTTATTCTGGATCAGGGGAGGAGGGGGCACCAGTGAGGGATGATAAGATAAGATGAGCGTGAAGGATTATAATATGAGCATGATGTCAACTTTGCTAGATACATTAAGTCAAGTAATTTCATATGTCTACTAACGACCTCCTCCCCTAAGTTGGGAATAGTTCGACTCAATTATATTTTTTTGTTGATATGAGTACCTACTCATCGTTTATTATACGATCGTTTATTAAGTACATTCGTCAATCGACAAACATATTTTTTTAAAATAGCTGGCTACTATTGAATTTATAATTTTTAGGTACGCGGTATACGTACACATTTATAGATTCCCATCTATTGATCATTTATTGTTGACTAGCTGTTCCCGAGACTTCGTTCGCGTGGAATTTAACTTTATTTTTCTAAAATAAAAGTAACTTAAGTTACTCCTTATTAAATCAGCTACCTGCCAATAAAGGTCCCGTCAAAATCGGCATCCAATCATCCAAAGCAATCCAGCCATTTCAGAGTTTAGCCGGAACAAACAGATAGACAGACAAAAATTGTAAAAGATGATATTTTGGTGTATGTACTGCATTTATATTCATATGCATGTAGTAAAAAATGGTTATTTCAATATTACAAACAGCACTCCAATTTTATTTATATGTAAAGATGTGATTATACGTCATATTTAATTAAAGAAAATAATTAAATTGTGGATAGCGTATTGAAAAATTTCATGAAATTATAAAGATGGTGAAGTTATAAAAGATAAATTTTACAATTAATTTTATTGAAATAGGACATTTTAATGGAAAAAGAAAAGAATCTTAGAAACTTAGATAAATCTTATTTATTATCGGTGTTTCCATCACCGGCGAGTCAGTTACAAAGTTGTTTTTGTTAGCCAGTTTCGAATTCATGACTCCTGTAGTTCGTCGGGGTAGTAAACTACAAATCCACGTAGCTCGAAAAAATCCCGATAATACCGATGCGACCGAGTACTTAAATATAAGTTACGAAAAGTCAACTAGTACTATGCCACACTTAAATCGTTAAGCTGATTGGTTTAGCATTTCATCATATCATGTACAAAAAAATCACTTACATATATTAATTAGACCATAAACATTGTTACACCAAGGAGTAGGTACCATAAGTTTTCAAAATCTAAAAGAACACGGACCGGAACATTTTTTGGAGATCCCGACCAAAAATGGAACTAGTTACGTCATTACGCACATTATAGTCACTTTAATAAAGCAAACGATAACATTATCCAAATGTCGATAAATGTTTAGCCCAATTTTGTTCTAAGGTAAAAAAATTACAGGACATGATGGTGTCCACCTTAATTCCTTATGACTTCTTTATACACGAAAAACATTATATTATATAATTACCACATAATGGGAGAGAACTACTAAACAAAAATAAATTGCTAATGGATAGGGCCAAATAGTGGTAATTATAAATAATACCCTTGGACAATTCACACAACGTCATCTAGCCCAAGGTAAGTAGAGATTGTGTTAAGAGTACTAGACAACTAACATAAATACTTAGATATTTTTTTGTATTCGATCCGATTCAAACAATCATACTCGTAAATACAAATGTTTGCAACGTGCGAGGAATCGAACCTGCGCCCATCGGAAGTAAAAAGTTGTGTTAAGCCGCTAGACCACTGAGGTTAAATTGACCATGTACACAGACGCACACACTAAAACTATTGATGTGTGGCAGTTCTATTTTTTCAACGATATTATAAAGATACAATCTACATAAACGAGTTTATAGCGTCAGTTCACTAGGTCCATATTGTCTTTAGAGAAATTCATTATAATTTGTTTCTTACAGCACGAGCCCTAGGAAGCTTCAGGAAATGTCACTTCCTACTCCCGACGGACATGGTAAATATTAAAAAAAAAACGTCACCACAGTTGAAAAAGTTGTTACAATTAATTTAGCCTCAGTATAATTTATTATTACATAGTTAATTATAAATATTTATAGATTAAAAGTAAGCTGGCTTGCAGACTTAATACTTTAAGACGTAAGATGACATATTCTAACAACATATTTTTACCAATTGATTATTATTTACTAATATATTTAATAATTTCTAGATGAGCCCGCGAAATCGTACCCGTGTTTGTAAACAAATTGTAATAAAATCTATCTGCACTAAAATTTAAGAAAAGCGTGAGTCCCCAATAGTAGTTTAAAGTATTACCATATTGGGGAACTTATAGGTTATTTTGTCATATAAATTAATACCGCTATTAAAAAATAGTGGTTAATAAAAATATACAAGATAAAAATAAAACATGATGTCTACAAAATGAAGATTATTTTGCTGTCGGCCATCCTTATAAGTTATAAAAAATCGATAACAACCTATTCGCACCTACCTAGTACTCGTATAAAATTTAATCAAAATCGGTTCAGTAAGTTAGGGTTCCAATGCGGCGAACGTAACACGAAATTTTTAAAGATTGAAATCTACAACTACAAAATAATAGAAATTACATTATTATAGGCATAATGAAAATATTTCTAATTTGTTTTACTAAAATATTCTAATTGTAGAATACAACAACTAACTCCATTTAGTTATTTTGAAAATTGTACATACTATACGTAGTACTTACGCTTCAAATGGTAATTATTTGTTCTACAATATTTTTAATCTGTATATGGCCATAATGATCTTGTCTAAAGAATCTTAAATTTCAGATGTCACATCTGTAAGCGGCGTAAGTATGAAACAGTATGAAGAACAGCTCAATGGCCTAAGAAAAGAGAATTTTCATTTGAAACTGAGAATATATTTTCTAGAAGAAAAATTAGGAAGTGGTTCACCACCGGCTGTGCAAGTAAGTATTAGAAGCCTCGATTAAAATTTAATTCACATTGTCGAATTTTTATAAGACATTCAACAACAATTCATTTATTTAGGGTCTATTGGAGCATAACGTAAGATTACAAGTAGAAGTAGAGGAACTGAGAAGACAGCTTTCTGACAAACAAGAGCTTCTTGCTGCTGCTGCGGAAGCAATTGATGTGTTAGAACAACAGGTATCTATTATATAACCGACATAGTACTCAGGCAATTCAGTAAATGTAAAGTCTCGGAAAACAAAGAAACTATTCTTTTTTGCGCATTTTAGATACAAAACACAAAGCTTTCTTAAAATTTGTGGGTTTGTTGATTGGTTAACACTGGTACTTTATTATTTTATTATATTTTATTTTAGGGTTCCATATCAAATGATAGTGTGGAGGTATCAATTAATAACAATGATGTTTCTATAAAAGATAACACAAACCTACCAGAACAAGTAAGTATATTGCTAAAGCCAAGAACTTTATTTCCAAAATATTAACAGATTGCGTTTGAAGCAATTCTTTTCTATAATAGGACCGTTTTCCACCCCGATTATTCCAGGTCTTGCCGAGGCTTGACCTTTCGGAGATTACCTACCTTATCTAGCTATATACATGTACGTCTAGTATTATATTTATTGGTGTTAAATAAAGCAATATTTTATTTACCAGATTTACCAGATCCATGTTATTTTAAGATTATAATACTTGCAAGTACATAAATAATGTATTTATTTGTAACATTAAAAAATCACTCATCTAAAAAGACGGAATTAAAAAAATCGTTTTTTAAGAAAGTCCAATATAATGTTTTTTTTTTTTTTTTTATCTTTTATTTCGTTACTATTGTAGGAAAGGATTTCAATTTATCTTTGCATAATAAATACTTATACACTTTTAGAATATGTTTCCTCAAGATGCAAAAAGTAAATCTATAAATAATTAAATCCTTATTATTATCCTTACACCAATACATTTAAAATGTGATTAATGTTTTTCGTTATATTTATTTTTAGGCATCGGAAGGAAAAGATCAAGTTTTAATGGCCAATGACACATGCCTCGAATCTGAATCTGCTGGGTAAGTTAAAATTTATTATTTGTAATTCCTAAAATATATTTATTCAAATTTAATAATATGAGATTACATTATTAAATATCTATTTTTAATTTTCTTTGCAGTGATTATCTTGCTGTAACGGTTAATAATGAAGATATGGTAAATTACTTTTATTGTTAATACCAAGGCGTTTATTTACTAATACTACCATAATATTATGTAAAATATATTATTTTCTTTTTAGGATGAACTTGTTAAGTTGCGAAGGGAAAACCACAAAGCTTTGCAAATGATAAAAGGTTGTATGAAGAAGATCCAACAACAAGATAAAGAAATTAAAAAACTTAAACTGGTACAACTTTCACATATCGCTTTTTTCTTTTATTATTACTAGTCAATTTTATGTATAACCTTCCTAGTTTGTGATCGCGTGTACGCGGACTGATGGAAGACAAAAGTAAAGGTTCATTCAGGTGAATAAGTTTTTGCCTGCAGACTACAAAATATTTTTCTTAGTTCGCGTACTTACAGTGTTCGTTACAGTACTTACAGTGAACGTCTTAAGATCTGCACTTAATGAAGACATATGCGGGGTGAGAACGTCCGCGTGTGCGCGCTACCTTATTATACAAAATGCTTTTTTATCTTCATACCTTGTCCATAGGACGCAATGCAAAACTGTTTCTTTATTTATTTATCTGTTTCTGGTATATACCATACCATACTATCTTCATATATATTTTAAAACTCTATATTAATATCAAAGAAACAGTTTTGCATTGCGGACAAGGTATGAAGACATATTTAAAAAAAGCGTGATCCGGTGGAAATTCATGAAAATATAGTCAAAAGAAATATCTGGTTATTAACTTATATTTTTTGGGTATATTTGTAATATGAAATATATGATTAATTCTAGAATAAAGAACTGGCGTACGCACATGTTAGTGACTCTCAGCTGGAAAAATATGAAGAAATATTGAAGTGTAAAGATGAACATATCAAGGATTTGGAAAACAAAATAAGAGAACTCCAAAAAAACGTACAGAATGACGATATCACCGGGTACTTTATTTTTTTATTACTTGCAGTGGTCATATAATCATTAGTCTGTTTTAGTTTAATCTACTATCATAATATACTCTGTATACTTTACAGACATTTAATGTGATTATTTATATTTCAGAAATCTTCAACAATTACTAACAAGACGTTTGCAAGGATTGGCTTATTTTTTAGATAAATTGTTATCACATAAGTAAGTATAATCCATAACATTTAATACACATAGTCTTTGGTTATTAATTTGACAAATTACAATACATATATATATATATATATATGAAAAATAATATAGGTATTATTGTTTGAAAAGAATGAATGCAATCAGAATAAAAAAACAGCAAGGTAAAAAATTATAATAGTGTTACTCTTTTTATTTTTCCCTATTAATTTATTCAGTTATTATACTATCGTATTACATCCTCCCGCTACACATGGTATATTTTATAGAATAAAACTAGCTGTAAAATAGTGACCTTGACCAAAATATTTAATGACCTAACCGTAAAAGCCATATGAAAAAGTTTTAGCTTCAAAAACGACGACACTTCCGTACAATCTTTCATTACTCTATCAACCCCCTATTAATATATATTTAATAAATACGCTAAAAATTAAACTTCAAGCTTATAGCTTTAAAAATGACAATATTTCCATATAAACATTTAACTTTTCTTTAAATTCCCTACAACCCATTTTATTTATTTATATTTAATCAACAGCCTAAAATCAGTTTCAGGGTTTGGAAAATGGCGATATATCCATACAATCTTGCACCTACCCTTTCAATCCCCTTATAACCCTTTTCCACATTAAAAAGTACCCTATATCCATTCTCAGGGTCTAGATTATGTGTTCCAAATTTCATTAAACTCGGTTCATCATTCTAACTTAAAAAATCATGAATTTACATAAAAACTTTGATCCCCTATTTTATTTTACACCTTTAAGGGTAAAATTATTACAAACTTTGAATGTCATATTTATTCGTATTTATTCCCTAACCTAGAATATAAGTTTCTAGCTTATAGCTTTAAAAATTACGTACAACCTTGCATGTATCCTTTCAACCCTTTAATGCATATATATATTATATGCATTCAGTAGCCTATGTCCTTTCTCAGGGTCTGGACTAACTGTGTACCAAATTTCATTTAAATCGGTTCAGTAATTTTGGCGTGTAAGCGAGACAGACAAAGTTACTTTCACAGTTATAATATTAGTGGGGTATTTTATAAACTAACCTAAAAAAGCCAATGGAAAATTTTCCTAGATCTAGCTTCAAAAATGGCGAATTTACCTAAAAACTTTCATCCCCTATTTTATTTTACCCTCTTAGTGGTAAAATTTTAAAAAATTTTGAATATCATATTTATTCATATTTAATTTTACCCTATTTTATTTTACCCCACTAAGGGTATTTTTTTTACAAACTTAGAATGTCATGTTTATTTATATTTAATCATCAGCCTCAAAAATATGTTTCAAGCTTCTAGCTTCAAAAATGACGAATTTACATAAAAACTTTCATCCCCTATTTTATTTTACCACAACGTTTTTGCAGACTTTGAAAGTCATGTTTATTTATATTTAATCATCAGCCTCAAAAATAAGTTCAAGCTTCTAGCTTCAACAATGACGAATTTACATAAAAAAAATTATATCCTAATTTATTTAACCCCCTTAAGGGTAAAATTTTTAAATACTTTAAATGTCATATTTACTCATATTTGATTAGGAGCCTCAAAAATAAGTTTCAAGCTTCTAGCTTCAAAAATGACGATTCTTCCATACAATCTTTCATCCCCAATTTCAACCCGTTACAACCCTTTTTTCGCATTAAAAAGTAGCCTATGTCCTTTCTCAGGGTCTAGACTATCTGTGTACCAAATTTCATTTAAATCGGTTCAGTAGTTTTGGCGTGAAAGCGAGACAGACAGACAGACAGAGTTACTTTCGCATTTATAATATTAGTAAGGAAGTAAGGATAACTTAATGTATAAAATTACATTTACTATGATTAACTTAGCGGTATATAAAATTTTAGATACCGCTAAGTTATTTAGACCGCTAACTACTACATAATTGATAGACATAATATACGTATCATAAAAAGCCTCGATAAATAAATGAAAACGGATATACACCAAGATCGGATAGTACAGCTGTGTGCTATAAAGGATGTGAATAGGTATATTAAAATTCAGACTTATAACGAATATGAAATTTTAAAAATCAAACCAGATTATCTTTACATATTATAAATGATGACGATGATTGTCGTTATCCATTTATTGAGCATTAGTTTAGTTGGATTTTTTATACGTAATAGATTTTCAACTCCTAAATGAAGAAATAATCAGGTAATTAGAAATAATAATCTACGCGTTATTACTCGGAGCCTGCATTTTTAATTTATAATGACTTTAACATGACCGACTTCAATAGGTCACAAATTTATACAAACTTGATTAGGATCTTTCTCTTTTCTACAAATGTCCAAAAATGTTCGTACCGCGGGCGCTCGTATAGTTGGCGTCCCTGATGGATACTAAAACTCTCTTGGATTTATAACGAGTCAGACTAATTGATAATTAATAATTAGTTATGTTTATTTCTATACAGATGCGTACTTGGAGAAGACAAGAAAAAATTAGCTGAAAGCATATTAGAACAAAGTTTAGCCTTACCTGTTGGTTTGAAATTAGATGAATCAATGGCTCCTGAAGAATTCACAATGGATGAAAGCAATCTTGATATATCGCAATCATTGAGGATTGAGGACTTAACAATGTTGTTTGGACATCATGTCGCATGCAGTGACGAAAATAGGTACTCTGCTCGAAAGCCTTTAAAACATTTTCCACAGGCTGATATTATTTCTGAATCAGAGTGCTGGTCGGAACCAGATAGAAATGTATCGCTCGCTAGAGTAGGTCTCTGTGACACCGGAGTAGCCATTAGAGAATCTATGTCAGAAAACAGTCGGTTCAGATCAAGGCGTTCTAAAGTTTCCTATGGATCACGTTCTGATGATAACAAAACTACTAATGAATCGGCATTACTCGAGGAAATAAACCAAATAACTCAGCGAAGTGAATTATTAGAAGAGGAAAATAACGATCTAAACAACAAATTAGAATTCGCAAAAACACAAATTAGTGAACTTATAATTGAGAGAGATGAACTAAAAGGAAGTTTAGATAGTGCGCGTACAAATATTGTGGAGTTAAATAAACAAATTGAAATGACCAGCAATTCTTTAATTTGCATGGAATTAAAGATTAAAGACATAGAGCAGCAGTATACTGGTGCTGTACAATTAAGTGAAAAATTGAGAGAGGAGAGACAGCAATTAGAATCTACCTATCTAGAAACAGAAAGGGCATTAAGACGTGCTGCTGATGAAGCGACAGTACAAGCTTCTCAAGCAGCTTTAGAGAGAGCACGCGCTCAACACGATAGATTACGTATTGAAAGAGAATTAGAAGAGACACGTGATAAGTTAGCTAATGCTTTAGAAGTTAATGCTCAATTAGAAATAGAGGCAACGCGTAAGATAGCTCTAGAAGCTGACAATAAAATTGCGATTGTACATGAAGTTCTACAATCAGAAGATGACCGTCCCACTTCGCCTGATTTAGGAATCGATAGTGATAGATTATCAAGCCTCGAACATAATGATGCTGTTACATTATCACCACGTACGTGTTTTTAATTTCATCACTTTGGTCTTTTTGTTAATTTTAAATAACAATTTTCATTGATAAATCAATATTTTTCTTTCAGGATCTTTGTATGAGGAAAATCAGACATTAAAACAGAAACTGGCAAGAACTAAAGCAACACTAGCAGAAACTTTAGCACAGTTAAATGCTGCTAATTTGAGAAAAAGAAGTGTTCAACGAGCGATTTGTAGAGAAATACATAAAACCCAAGGTGTGTTACGAAAAGCACGAGATCAGTTTGAAAACCAAAATTAAATTATGTACTTAATCATTAATTTGACTTGTATAGGTAAATTTAAAAAAGAATTTACTATATACATACATGTATATACGATACTTTGTACGATTTTACATGTTCTGTGATTTTAATTGTTTTATCTGTATTAAGTTAGAATTTTATTTTAAACAGTATGTATAATTTACTAACTTATTTTATTTTTCGAATACATTAAGTGATAATTATATGTATGTATATTAAATTATATGGCTCAACCAACAAACCATTTACAAAAACAAAAACAGAAAAGTTCGCGTATATACGTAGCATTTTGGACTAACTGCAGTGAAGTTTGCACAGCATACTTTTTTGCAGATATTGTACGGTGTTCATTTAATTATGTGTTAAAAATTCTCATTTGTAATGTTTTAATCATTTAAATATTTCCGAACTGATACACTATTGAAACAAGAAAATAATTTATTCCTTCTAAAAGCCTGGCAACGCACTTTCTATTCAATTTCTATTCCCCGGGCGCTCATGTAAATCAAATATAGGCAAAAAAAATAGAAAAACGCATGAGCTAGTACTATCTGTAGCATAATATGATGACCATAGTGCTGTTCATCTAAATTGGCGATGGGTACCACTTACAATCAGGTATGTCGTCACCTTACTATTCCAAATAAATGAAAAACATGTTAAACACGCTCACTTATTATAATTTATATGAGTTAATAAGCCCATAATATAATTTGTCTTAATCTGTATTATGGTATTTGTTATACCTATTTAACATAAGAAAAGCTAAGGTAGTATTACAGGTATTGTTTAGTTTATTTGGTTACATTGCTCTATGGAATATCCTGTATTTTAGATAATAAATATTATTAAACATTAACTTTGTGTATTTACTATATCAACAATTACTATGAATTCTTATTCCCATACCAAATGTATGGCAGATGAGATGAGAGAGATGTTCAGATTTTTTTTATATTATATTTTCAATTAAAATATTTTGATGAATTTACACAGTAGTACGCCTGCGTTGGGCCTGTTACTATGAAAATTAATGAATTTGAACCAAGATTTAGAATAAGACAAGTATTGTATATTTTTAACCTCAATGTTGATTTCTGTCTTTAGCCTGAATGTCTACAATGCAAGCTTTATTTTATTAGAAATGCCGGAGAAAATTCGGCCCGACATCGAAGACTTGTTTAATAATTTGAAATACACTATATGAACTTTAAATTCTTGATGAGCTAGTATTAGAATATGGACCAGAAAGTAATAATCATCGTTTCAAAAACTAAAACAAGATTTGATAGTACTACTAAAATCATCATCATCATCATCATCGCAGCCCGGAAGACGTCCACTACTGGACATAGGCCTCCCCCAAAGATCTCCACGACGATCGGTCCTGCGCTTCTCGCATCCAATGCCTTCCAGCTTGACCAGATCGTCGGTCCACCTTGCTGGAGGCCTTCCCACGTTGCGTCTAAATATAAAACACAAGAATTATCCAAGTCTCAAGAATAAGAAAAACTAAATCATATTAGGCTGTACCGTCAGGCGACCATTGCGTACCTCATATTTAAAAAAAGAAGAAGACGAAGCTTTGTAGTTTACTTGGCGCGAAATGTAAAAACAGACCTACACTTTTGATTTACTTTGTAATATTATTATTTTTTTATAAAATCAATTCTAAAATGACTTTTCATTGGAATGTTGCTAATCCAAATTTTGATACTCTAGGCTATATAACAGCCGTTGCGAATATCAAAGATAAACACGATAAGTCAGCTCCCTCTGATTATCACTGGAAAATTCTTAAATGTAGGTAAGTAATATTTTTACTTGCATTTTCTGTTTCGCTAGAAATTATAACATAATTATGTTGAAAACAGTCGGGAAATTATACTTTTTTTTTTTTTGCTAGTATAAATTATTTTTTTTTTGTTACACAGAATTATTATATTTTCAAATTCGTCTATATTAGCCAGTCCCGATAAGAAAAATTTGAAACAAATTCACATTATCTTCAATAAAACGGGCGACGACTATGATAAAATTAATTCATTGTTCTTGAAATTCTCTCTTATACAGGTAATTAAACTCAAAAATTATTAGAAAATGTGAAAATTAATTTTCTTGATTGTTTTTATGGCACTACCTATGTAAAGCGAAGCAAACCTTTCTTTAATACTTAATTGCTTGATAAGTTACAAAAATGTTAATCAAAAACGAAGCATAATCGCGAGTTGCATAATCGCGTGCTCCTCTACATAGATACCTGATTAGGTATTTACTCTTTCAATCATAACAGTGGAAGGGCAAACTGAAATATGGGTCAGATCTTGAATAAGGTTCCATGTAGGTATGGGTTAGTTAGTGTATAAAAGGCTACTAAGAACAAAAATATGTGTACCTACTTCAAAAATGGCTGAGAAAAAAAAAGTACCTAGTCGTAACTATCTACGTTCCTATTTTATTTTCTAAGTTTGTATGTGACTATTTGAACTGGAGTGGTTTTTATTTAATATACATTTTTTTTAATAAAAGGATGGCTCTATAAAAAAGACTACGGCCGATATATTCGAAATGTGTTTTGTGTATACAATGACAGCTAAAATTGCACCATTATGGAATACAATCGGCACTAATTATCTCATTAATAATAGAGATTTTCTTACAACCAAAGGACCCCAAGATGGACTACAATATCATATAGCAAGTAATGGTAAGTACTTATCTTAGTATACGTAACTTAGGTAGACTACGTAAATAGTCGTCTGTGTGAGTAACTCAATCTCACCTATTTCAGGCAGCGTGCTTTATTTTTGTTGATGGTTATTAGTAAGTAGACATACTTCAATATGTGGACTAAGATCAATTAAGTGTACCTATGTAGCAATTTCTAGAAATAATTTTTCCTTGTCCTAAGATAACTATTACTACTACTAAGATAACTTATTATCCTAGGATCACCTTGCTCCTGATAAAAAGGCACTAATAATATTGCTTCTACATAGGTATTACAATTACACAACAGAACAATTAATATTAATACAAATGTATTTTTGTTAGAAAGTTCTACTTACATTGAAGTCAAGCCTGTAAAAATAGTTATTATTATGGAATTGGAAGGTGACTTTGCTCCTGGAGAATATGTCAGGGTATTACCAAGGTAGATATGCCCAAGTATTATGTATATTACTAGTTTTACAGCGGAATGTGGTGATGACCAGAATGCAGATAGTCTCCAAGACCGCTAAAGGACTTACGGAGCGGCTGAAGACTAACTCCCGCCTGACGGACACGAGTTTAGTCTGCTGGCACCGCTAGGGGTTCGAACTTTGGCTCAAGCCAATTCGGAGGATGGATCGGACAAGTCTTACGTACACCACAACATTGACAGCCCGATTGCCCCATCTGGGTTGACAATCATGAGGAAGTGTAATGTTTTTAGTTTATTATACCTATCCATAATATTAGACATAATTTTCAGTTTATACCTACTGGAGTTCAAATATCACCCACTTTCTTATTTTAGCTTAAATAAAGCTATAGTGGAGGAGCATCACAATTCGTTTCCAGAAATGTGCGCTTTCAAATTTTACAAGGATTTACGTCGCCACTGGAAAAATATTGTAAGTGTTTATTCTAAAACAATATAGGTACTTGACAGTAAATGGAAAAAAAAGAAAGTACCTACGGAAGTAATTGCTACTACCTAATTGAAAGATAAAAAATATAATAAATAAATCGATAAATTAAAGTCTCGTTATCTTTTCAAGGCAATTCGAGGAGATCTCAGGTGATATCCGTACCCTATAAGTACCCTTATTTTCTCTGTCATATCGTTGTCTGTGTTATCTGTCTCATTTAAGTTTAAATGAGACAACTGACAGACAACTTTGTGCAAAGCTTACCTACCTCTGGAAATATGATTGATTATCATCGCATTCGCAAACGCTTATTGTTTCAGGAAAAATAGTAAATACTCTGTAATTTGCCATACGGCATAGGTATTCGTGGTATTTCTTTCTGTAATACAAAGTTATCTATGTCAACAGCATGGCTATAGATTGCCTGAACAAGACTGTTCATCATATTATGTAATAAGATTTTGGCGAGGAGAGCCCTTAACCTATCCAAGTATATGTGTGACCAGGAATTTACCCGTCATTATACCAATGCGAAAATATGTTGAGGTAAGATATAAAATACATACAGTGAAATAAAGCATTAAAATATATTTGTTTTATACATACGTAATATTCATAAAAAAAGGCCCAGAGCGATACAAATAATCATATTCATAAGTTTGTACCGTGCGATAAGAACCCGCGACCGTCAGAAGTAAAGCGGTGTCCTAAACCGCTAGACCTCCGAGGTCGTTATATTGCCATTATGTTACTTACTGATTATGCTTATCTGTGCTATAACCACAGATAATATAATATTACATACAGATACCCCATCCCATACAAGAAAATGGTTCCTTCCTAACTCGGGCTATTCTTCGGGCTATTTTATTTCGCCGCCGTAGGCGCTAGATGTCGCTATATCTGAAGCAGTTTGGATTACTAGTGGGTGATTAGTAATAAAGCATGAAAATAGATGGCAGAGAATTCGGTCTACATGACATCTGTTTTGCAAAGATACGTACATAATAGATATATAACTGTATCGAACTCCTGATTGGGTACAATCGAAAATTCAATGTAGGTATAATATTGTTCGCTGACAGTCTACAGACACGGCTAATGTACCTATGTATCTATGTACTATGTTACAGTTACTTTTTTACATGCCTACTTTTTTTCTCCCGACGAAGATATGTCGTAACGCGTCTGCACTAAAATCGGGCTATCGGTTAAGGAGCAATAGCTCCTTAACGAATAGCCCGATTTTAATACGGTTTTTTTTATTTAAATTGTTATGTGATAGTGATAGATTTTAGCTATAATCAATTGATGTGCATATGGGTACCTCATATAATTTTCAGTGTATAATTATTTCTCAATATGTAGTTAATTATGGTAAACTGGCAATTTGTAAAACTGAAAATAATATCTGCACAACCTCAATCTGTTATATGTAGGTTCTTTCAGGGATACTACATCGGTGCTAATGACATGTAGGTACTTATTTTGATGTTATACCTATTTGTAGAACCTTCGATATCTACAAACTACGCCTTTACTGCTAGTTTTTTGGTATTTATGTAAGTTGTTATTCAGTTGAAATTAAGCTGCGAAATTACAGGATATTTGGACATAACATCTATGTTCTCCGGAATGATAACGTATGCGGGATATAGCGGGCACGACATGATGACGTAATGCTGTTTAATAATATGTGTGTATGTATGTACGTCGGATAG